GGGTGCATTATTAGAAAGTGGTAACAGTGTGTATTATTTATGAGCGTATTACACATGGGTGGCGTTGTTAATCCCCTATATGACTGTAGCCTCATCTAAACACCTTATAATGAGTCACAAACACAGTTGCAGAGCTGATTCTTTCATGTGTGGTAGCCTGTTATTAAAATGTGAGGCCACTTGTTCGTGCATCTCTCTCCTCCTCCTCACTCACTGTCAAAAGCTGTTTTATTCTTTATTTTCAGCCCTTCTTCCCTCAGACAGCGTGCACTTTTCACACTCATTGCATGTTCATTATCACCCCACCCACACTTCACCCGTATCAATACCTAGGTAAGCTACAGATGCCCCAGAGGACAGGTTTTGTAGAAACACAGCGTTGGTGCCGGAGATTTTCTTTTACTGGCACCGGGGTTGTTTGACGTTTCAGTGAGGGTGCTCTGGAACTGAGGGGTTCCCATAAATTTGGTGGTCATCACTGTTTAATTTCTATTGTAACAACCCAGACACACGTACACATGCATGCACAAACAGTACCTGCTCTTTGACAGTTACAGTGTCATTCTGTGTTAAACACAAGGTGAGACATTCAGCTCAAGGGATAAGGATGTAAGGTTCACATGCAGCCTATGTAAACACAACTCTGAATATGAAATTTTACACAATTATGCCACAGACTGGGCTTGTACACAGGCTTTTGATGAAAAAAATGGAGAGATATGGTATCAGAGGAATAGCCTATACATGGCTACAAAGCTATCTGGAAGACAGATTCCAATATGTACATCTGAACAATGAAAATTCTAATTTATTAAAAGTTACATATGGTGTTCCACAAGGATCTGTGCTGGGTCCCATATTGTTTATTTTGTATATAAATGATATTTGTGATGCGTCAAATCTGTTAAAATTTGTGTTGTTTGCCGATGATACCAGTATATATTGCTCTGGTAAACATTTGGAACAGCTTTTGAGTGCAGTGGAAAAAGAGTTGAAAGTTCTTAAAAGATGGTTTGATATTAACAAATTATTACTGAATTTAAGTAAAACTAAATATATAATCTTTGGTACCCAACAAGTAAATTGTGAAGTTAAACTCAAAATTAATGATGTCGAAATTGAACGAGTGTGTGAAAATAAATTCTTGGGCGTGATAATTGATGATAAACTCAATTGGAAAACACATATAAATAATATTAAATCTAAATTGTCCAAAATCATTGCAATTCTATACAAGACGAAAGAACTTTTAAATCAGAAATCCACTTACATGCTATATTGTTCACTCATTGTCCCATACATCACGTACTGTGTGGAGATATGGGGAAACACTTACATAACAAACATTGATCCAATAATTAAATTACAAAAGAGAGCCATAAGAATTGTAAATCGCTCAAAATATTGCGAACCAACAAATCCACTCTTCATTAAATTAAATACGTTAAAATTTGAAGATCTTGTCGAATTAAGAACTTCTCTTATAATGTTCAAAGCCCACAACAATCTACTTCCTTACTGCACTCAGAAAATGTTTTCACCCAGAGTAAGTCGGTATGAACTTAGAGGAAATTGTGTTCAAAAAAATTAAAGTAAGGACAAACTTCAGAAGTAGATGTATTTCTGTTAAAGGGGTAAACTTGTGGAATAGTCTCTGTGATGAGTTAAAAATGTGTAGTTCTATCTGTAAATTCAAAAAAATGTTTAAACTTAGGGCAATTGACAAATATAAATTATTGGTATGACCAAGTATATTAAGTTTCCTTGGGCAGCTTCTCCTGTAAATTTCTAAGCCTATATCACATGATTTTCGTTGAAATTGATCTTTGTAACACTTTTGTCTTTGTTGTAACACTTTTTGTTTTTGTTTTGGTGTGATGTAGTGTAAAAAGGGTAGGCATCATATAAGCTACGGCTTCAGCCTTCACCTTTTTGGTTCATTCATTTATATGTACTGCTTTACTGGAATGCACCTGGTTAATTAACAAATGAACCAAATAAACTACTACTACTACAGAAGCAGCAGGCAACAGACACAGGTTTGTGCAAACTTCCACCTCGATTCTAAGATCACAGTCTCATGCGGCCAGCAACACTTCGACTAGATACGCACTTTTCCATTCCATAGAACAAATGTTATGTGAAGGATCAACACACAGATAACTATAGAGATGCAGAATGTATACTTCAACCCCAAATGCAATGAATTTAAAGGATGAAAAACTTGTGTCTGTTGTTGTGACTGAGTGTGAAATCATCTTGTCTCGGTCCATGGCCATTGTTCCCTCAGTGTTTAAGGCCAACAGTGCCGGGTTACTAGCTCCACATGAGGATAATTTTATATCTAATATCTACAGCAATGCCAGCAATCACAAGCAGGTCCCCTTCCTCATCTCCATTCTCTGGCTTTTCTTGGTAACGGACAGTGATTACTAGTGTTGTATGTACACCTTCATGAGACCTGAAGTCAAAAACAATCCATTATGATAAACCCATTTTTCCTAATGTTACATTACCAATAAGGCTGGATAGTAAAGGATTACATGTAATTGATTATACATAATCAGATTAAAAAAATCAACCTGGTCTCACTCCGACGTTATAGTTTATTTTGAAAGAGACTGTATGTAAACAATAAAGTTTCTATGAAAATGGAAGTGTATTTTGAAAGGAGACAATGCATGTAGCAGGCAGAACTTGACATGACGTCCCAGAACTTCAACAACCAACCTTGCACGTGGTATCTGGAAGTGGAAATCCATGACTGAACGTCGATATGTGACAAGGTCGGGATGACAATGTGTTGGCTCTCCCAGGGGTAGCTACCAGGTCCCCAGGAACTGACCCAGGCTTTGAAGCAAATTATCATAGTGGCCAAACAGTGGAATTACAGTTTTTTTGAGACTGTCGCATGATGCCATTGGGCCCAGAAAGACCATAGACTTACATTGTGAAAGAGATGTCTGCAAATCAGTGGAAACAATATATCTGAGCATCACAACCCCCAGGAAAAGACTTGTTTAGCTATCAGGATTTGATCCGTTGGGTCCGATGACATTTGTTAAGTCTAGAAAAGAAGCATGATTAATTCTTTTTTTCCCCATTTAAGTTAGCGGAGCACTAAACTGCGCGCTAAGTAGCCAGCTTGGCCAGTGGAAGTCTCTAGTGTGCTTGCTCTATGGCCCCAGTGATGCAGAGGCAGCGTCAATTATCTGGGTAATTTTACACATGGCTGTTAAACATTTTTGGCGTTATGCGCCGCTGAGCAACTTGTATCCAGTATCCATCCAGTATCAACCCAGTCTCACTCCAAAGTTGTCGAAATCTGGCATTTGGGCAGTGACTTGCAGTGTCAGATACTGACAAAAAAGCCCTCTTTTAACGTCAGCATGATATGTGACCAGGTGCCTTTATAGTTTAACAGCACTTGGCGGCATCAGGGGGAAACTCAACGGGACAAGAACGAAAGTTAAGCTGGTGAAAGTCCAAGTAGGGTGTCCTGTCAGATTATAAAGCCTAACCCCCAAATTCCACCAGATGCGTGTTGGTTGCATCTGCGCTCCGGAACGGCAGCGGAGCGGATACAATTCAATTCTAGTCAATGTGTGTGCTTCCACCAACTGCAGCTGTGCTGTGCTGCGTTCCGGCTCCGTCACAGCTGCGGCGCACCGGAGCCCTCCGCAACAGATACACAGGACTTCTATTTTTGCCGGACACTGGCGCACAACGCAGCAATTCAGCACAGAGCAGATCGTGCGGGGCAGGAAGTCGTGCACAGAAACAAAATAAAACAGCCGGTTAATTTTCAAAATAAAATACACTGTTCATGGCGGATCATATTTCCCTGCACTACACCTTGAAAACATCATAATGGGCGGAGGCAGGCCTGAAGTCAACAGATCAAAGGTTTCAGACGTCATTTCACCCCGTTGACACCATGGATGAGGAGATGTTAATCATTGGAGGTGCACTCAGATGTCTTCCTACTACTCCTCTGGTTTTGTGGTTCTGTTTATAGAAACTACATCTTGTTATATCGCGCGATTATGCGTCAATCCGCGAGATCTCGTGGGTCCTCGTGACTCCTGCTGTCCGGGGGAGCTGCACCGCTCCGCACAGCAAATGCAGCCGGTGGGTGTTAACAGACGGCGGAGCACGCAGCGGATAACCAGTGCAGCTGTTCCGCAACGGACACGCATCCAGTGGAATTCCGGCGTTACCCTGTTCTTTTTTCCTCAACCCAACCATGTGTTTTAGTTGCTGAAGGAAAAACAAATGTCAATTCATAGTACATTTATTTTGAAAGAGACTGTGTGTAAACGTTAAGTTTCCGGTGAAAACATAAGTGTATTTCAAAAGAAGACAATGCATGTAGCAGGCATAACTTGACACAGTGTCCCAGAGCATCAACAACCAATGCACCCAGGGTCCCTTGCACGTAGTATGTGGACGTGGAAGGTCCATGACCAAGCGTGGATATGTGATGAGATCGGAGTGAGAATCTGTTGATCCAGTTCTCTTTATACATCCATGGTAGCTACAGCACCCCCATGCACCTCCCTGGCACTGCCTGTGGAATCACAGAGCTCGAGGCAGTAATGTTGATGTGAATTATTGTCAAAGTCAGACAATAAATGTGCATAAAATACCTCAAACCATCTTTCCAAGTGCCCAGAATCAGACAGGTAGGATAACATGTAAAAGAAGTGAACTAAAATAACCAGTTGCACCTGCAGGATGTGCTGCAGTCATCCCATTCATGAAGGAGGAGAAATCAGAAAGTAGTGGTTTCATGCAAAATAATCAAACATTTGCACACAATTCAAATTGAAAGGAGGTTGATGGAATCACTGTGAACTCGCTGCAACATCGGCTGGGTGAAAAGAGCTGGTCTGCTTGGCTGTGTGAAGGAGGAGTGTGTGATGTGGCAGGCAAGAGACTGAGGGTGATGATGATGATGGTGTGTGTGTGTGAGTAAGTGTGTGTGTCACAGAGAGAGAGAGAGAGAGAGAGAGAGAGAGGGAGAGGCAGGTGGAAAGGGGGAGGGGTCTGGGGTGGTCCAGACAGTCGGTCCTTGTGTACCTCACACACTCTCAGCCTCTGCGCATCATTTAAGGGGAGCCCGGCTGTCGCTTTTCTCACCGCCTGGCTGCTTCATAATAACACGACCGCTCCAACGCTGCTCCGCCACTTTTTTTTTTTTTTTTTAATTCTGTTTCACTCTCTCTGCGGCTGAAGCCGACCGTTCAACTTAAACCGACTCGCACCACCGTTATATGGAAAATACAGCTCCGCCAGGCGCATTTATTCTCTCCGTACCCGAGATGAAGCGCACGGTGGAAAACGTTTGAGGACTAAAGGAAACCAGCCGTGATTCATGGACGTACAGCGCATCATGAGAATACTACAACTACCAACAAGGTATAACGGAGTGCGAAATTGCTCCTTAATTTCACCCTGCTTCATCACATTGGATGATTTATACAGGCTTTATGTCATATAGTGATTTTTGGAACACTTGCAGCTGGGTGGGATATGTTCATTTGCGCTATGTTGTCTTATCGCAGCGTTAGTGAGGATGTCTGCATCGTGGAAAATCAGTCAGGAACCTGTTCCCGCTGCAGCATAGTGGGCTTTTCATCCCAAATGTCGATGAGAGGAAGGCATTTATGCTCTCTGTAAGCATAAGTGCGCAGAGTTGCTATATGTGGCCATGAAAGTCAGTATTTAGTGTTGTTGTTAGAGTATAAAGCAAACCAACACTGTCAGCTCCTTCACACAAACACAAGTCTGAGTCTCTATGCAGTCAGAGGGGGGATATATATTTTTATCTGCTGTCATGAAACAATTTTGGGGTTTTATTTCTCCTCTCAGGTGTTATTTTTAGAGTAGCCTGAAAGATACCCTGATGCATCATTTCTTTTTTTGGACCTCACAAGTCTCATACATGGCTTCTGAAGTGATGGTGCTGAGCCTCTATGTTACTTACACCATCAAAGCTCCCTGCATCAGGCCCCAGCACATCTTATTTAAAAGAAAATTCAGAGTGGGACAGGCTCTCTGTGTGATTATCTAATTCTTCACTTGCAGCATCATTTCCCCTTGATATGACATTGGCAGTGAAGCTTTAAAGTATAGTTTACCTTCTTTTGTGCTGCCCTTTATCCCTCTGACAAACAAGTGGAATACAGCACAATGCTCAGACTCCCCAATCAGGCCAAACAAGGTCCTTGAATTAGATGCAGACATGTTGGAGTAGACAGAGAGCACAGGGTGGATGTATGGGGTGTGCTGCAGTATAGTGGACATGCTGTGTCCCTAATAATGATTATATGGTCAATTTCGGTGCATTTTCAGCCCAGAAAGAACATTGCACACATATGACTAGAATATATTTTATGATTTGTGGGTAAAATCTATTTTAAAACATTGGCACAAACTAAAAGAAAATGTGTCTTGCCATTTTTAGATACTGTATACAGCCTGTTTTGTACTCGCACTCCACTGTGGTGTGGGCTGTTAGAGTGCTGTACATGTTTTTGGCAGGCAGTGTCAGCTGATTGGATAGACACCAAAAGTTAGATGGCTCTCCGCTTTATCTTTTTTAATTTTCAAAAATTAGGCTTGAGCACCGGAAGGAGGAACGGGACACAAATTAAATGATTAAGTCACAGGATTCTGACTCGTGGGTACAGCAATCTTTATTAAGGACTGATCTTGTTCCCTTCTTATTCACTATGTAGTAAATCTTCAACCCTGCCTTCAGTGTAAGCACCAAAGTGAATCAAAGCCCAGCCTTTTGTCCCTGGAATCATAAATAAATTATAGCCTGTATAGTCAACCAACTGATGACTCACCCTCGATTCTAAAATCAATCACAATACAAGTTGTCCCACCGTTAATTGGTATATTCAAATGAGATTTTATTGTAATGTTCTCTCTCTGCTGTGCTGTGTCAAACTGTAGTGTCAAATGTTTAATATCAATTGCCATTTTAGGGCAGTAAGTAGAGAGCTATTCACTGAACTGCTAGACCCTAAAACTAATAATGAAATCATTTCTAAGAATAAAAAGACAACACATTATTTGTTCACAGGGAGGACCTGGCATGGACCGCTGTGTCTAAATGAAGTGGTTCAGCCATGCAATGTTCCTGGAAGGCAGTGATTCTGCTGGCTTTGGCCTCCATTGCCATCCAGTACACGGCCATCCGGACACTCACCTCCAAGCCTTTCCAGCTGTGCCCGTTGCCCAGCCCCCAGAACTGCGGTCTGGGGGGCCAGGAGACAGAACCTCCCTTTGAGCGAGGAGCAGCAGGCGGTGGAGGCTGCGATGACTACCCTTACTTCTCCATCAATGCCACACGCAAAACCCACATCCTGGTCCTGGCCACCACCCGTAGCGGCTCTTCCTTTGTTGGCCAGCTGCTTAACCAGCACCAGGAGGTGTTCTACCTGTTTGAGCCTCTTTATCATGTTCAGACCACACTGATTCCACGTCTGTCACACAGCCGCAATGCTGCGGACCGGCGTGTGATGCTGGGCGCCAGTCGAGATCTCCTGCGTAGCCTGTACGGTTGCGACCTCTATTTCCTGGAGAGCTACATCAAACCGACGCCCACAAACCACACCACAGATAAACTGTTCCGCCGTGGTGCCAGCCGAGCGTTGTGCCAGCAACCTGTGTGTGATGCCTTTGGCCCTGCTGATGTGAATGTCGAAGAAGGGGACTGTGTAAAGAAATGTGCGACTCTGAACATGACCTTAGCAACGGAGGCATGCCGCGAGAAGCGACACGTGGCGATTAAAATTGTTCGTGTGCCGGAGATTGGAGATCTACGCGCTTTGGTGGAAGACCCACGGCTGAACATCAAAGTGATTCAACTCGTCAGAGACCCGCGCGGTATCCTGTCGTCACGGATTGAGACATTCAGGGATACGTATCGTCTGTGGCGTATTTGGAGAGCCACGGGGCGAAGGCCCTATAATCTAGACTTGAGTCAGCTCACGGTTGTCTGTGAAGACTTTCTCAGTTCTGTTTCGACTGGTCTCAGCCATCCCTATTGGCTAAAAGGGAAATACATGTTGGTTCGCTATGAGGATTTGGCCAGAAATCCACTTCTCAAGACAAAGGAGATCTATGACTATCTGGGGCTGCCTATGGATAAAAATGTGGAAGACTGGATACATGCAAACACTCGGGGCAGCAATGAGCCCTCAGCAAAACATAAGTTTGGTACAGTGAGGGACTCTGCAGCTAATGCAGAGAGCTGGCGTTTGAAACTGTCTTATGACATGGTAGAATACACACAGACTGTGTGTCAAAAAGTACTTCACCAGCTCGGATACAAGGCTGTGAAATCAGTAGAGGAACTGAAAAACATGTCCCTCTCACTGGTACAGGACAAAACTTTTGTACCTTTTTTGTAACAAAGATAGTTCTCTAATGACTATTTTTGATATATTTATAATTGTTGCCTTATGATTTCTTTAGTTTGTCGGTTTGGTTTCTGTAGTTTCGTTTCTTCAGATTTGCACTAAAGATTTTGAATGCACCGAGGGAACTATGGATGATTCCCCAATGTTACAGAACAGCACACTTAAAACACAAAGTAATCAAACAAGCTAGTTTACAGATGTCTCATTATTTAGTTTTTTTTCCTCCATGAATAGAACTGAGACAGGCACGGTCTTCATTAAGTTCCTGTATGCAAGCAGTTGTTTCAACAAAAGTAAAATGTTGCCCTTCATAAACATTGGATAGGAGCTGCGAGGGGTTTTGGTAAAGCAGACATGTTTTCTTTTAGACCTGTGTGGCAAAATTTGGACTGTACAAGCCCTACTGTGCAATAAATAGTGAATGTCGCGGTCAACCTTTACCACTATGGCATTTCTATCCATGTGGGAAGAGAAGAGATACTTCTGACAGATGCCACGCTTGCAATGGATAATTGCAGACAATTAATAGGCTCTCAAGTTAAAGGGACAGAATCCCAATGGCGGTCATGAGTGTTTCATCAGAGGATTTACAACCATCTGTGATAGACAAACACACACTAATGAGAGATAATGTCAAAATCTTCATTACTGTAGGTATTTAGAGAATTTTTCAAGATGATTACAGCATTAAAAAACATGGATGTCGACATCATATAGGTCCAAGTAGACACTGAAGCATTCTGATGAGGAACTGTATTTGTCAGTTTTATTTATTGCGTTATTTATTTTTTTTGTAGTCCATTCATTTGAAAGTACTCAGTGTGAAATTTACATGGCCTTTTCTGTCTTCAATTAAAAATGTTGATGCTACTGTCGTCCATTGATGGTAACACATTGAGGCACCACTTAAACAGTAAAGGACTTTGTTGTTTTTGTGCCACCTGATCAGTGCGCAAGACGTGAAAAAAAGAAAACATCCCAGAATAAAAATAGTGTATGCATTCTCTCTGAAGTACAATAACATCTCCTTTGACAGTTCATGTTGGATCTGTGTTTATCCTCCACATGAAAGATTCATAACAGAGGAAGATACGTATGACTTTGTAGAACAGGTTGCACGGCAGATTCCCATATATCCAGAATGTGTGGATAGCCTGCACTATGAAACTCAGCCACGCTCACACAGTGTACGAACATTAGATCACATGTAAAAAGAGCATTACAGTAATGACAGCCCATAATCTGGAATAAATCCTCTGATCATTAATGTAGCAGTTGGCTTGCTGCTTCTACCAGGCAATGTGAAAGGGTAGAGGGTCATGGCTAAAATACAGTACGCCACAGTCGTGTAAAGTAATGTGTCCTTTTTTCGTCCTACTACTTAAAAATAATGCTGCACACACTGGACAGTTGCCAAAGCATTAAACATGATGTTATTATTTTTTAAATTTATTTCTGAACTGTAGCAACCCCAGAATTTTTTTAATGGGGTGGCCAGATGGAGGACGTTGAAAATCTTGGTCTGGCACACCAAAACTAAAAGCCATGACTTGATTTCAAGAATTCTGTTATGCTTTTGTGGTGCATTGAAAGCTCTGTCAATTTTAGAGTTAAAGCACTGCACAGTGAAATACTATGGTTTCTTCTTCTACAATTAATCTGATGGGCTTAGAGTAATACTGGAACAGTTAAAGGGATGGTTCACATTTTTTGAAGTGGGGTTTATAGGGTACTTTTTTCAGTGTACGCAATACAGTTTGCCGCAGTTTGGAGAGGCATGCTGGAGTCGAACACCAAAGCTAAGCAATCTACTGCTATGGACGGGTCAGCAACAAAACCTAGCCTATTTTAGCGACCTTAAGAAAGTCACACCTAAAAAAATCAGTTTCAGTTTCAGTGTGCGCTATATTGAAAGTATTTCCACCACTTTACCTTTCCGGCAGACAGCCCGTTTCGACAGGGAACATGTTAACCATCTTCAGTTCCTTATCTATGCTTTCGTCAAAACCACCAAACTCCACTTACAAAAACAATAATTTAAGCTCGGTGAACACGGGAGCTGCTTGTCTACTTCTGCCTTGATAAGATAGTTATTGTGTGACTTTTGTGAATCTGAACCAGCCCTTTTAAATGCTAAAGTCACACAATTACACAGATAAATAACTGATCGATGCAGCAGAATAACAGCAGCACCTGTGATCAGCAATCTTAAATCACTGTTTTTCTCAGTGGAGTCTGGTTTTGAAGGGAGCAATATAACTGCTCTATTTTCCAGTCGAAAATCAAAGTTAAGTGGTGAAAATACTTTCAATATGTCGCACACTTAGACCAAGGTTGATTTTTTAAGATAGGACTTTTTAAAGGTGCTTAAAAGTAGATTGCCTAATGTCGGACTCCAGCCAGCATCTCCAACACTGACTGACATTTACTTCATGTAATATTCTGTCTATGGATAAGTACTCAATACAACCCCACTTCAAAAAATCTGAGCTATTCCTTTAAAGATTTTGAGTCCCATATTATTGTGATATGTATCTCTATAAACGTGTCAGTCGATTCACTGTTCTTCCTATAAGCTAGTTGTACTTTTCCTTATAAAGATAAATACAGGACTTTAAATGAGTACATTGATTTTAAGGTACTGCGAACAAGTCTACTCAATTTTAAAATACACCACACTGAGGCCTCCCATTATTTTCAATTATTTAGGCATGAAGGTGGGGGTGGGGGGGCAGCGGCCACACCTTGGCAGCGCCACTGTCTCTGAACAGACAGAGGCTTTTGGTTTTCTAATCCAATTCACACACCATTCCTAAACTCAAGCACAAAATTATATAGACAAAGCTGCCAGTTTTATTTGCTGTAAAATTAACCATATTATAAGCATTTGGTACTGATGGAATCTCGGACCATTATGTGGATATGGATTGAAGACCCCAACTGGCACAAACAGCAATGTTCTGGTAAATATTCCCACAGTTGGTTTATATTTGACAGAATGTTTACCATCTTATGCAGTGGTTAGTTTGTCTTCCCAGTTACTGTGCAGAACACTGTGATCATTTCACGCCCTGCGCTGTATTTCTAAATCTCTCTCTGTTACTGTAGCAGCTTAAATTGAATGTCGGTTTGCATTATGTAGCACAGGAACTGTCAAGGTTGCGTGCACAACACACAGCTGGGTCCATAAAATGCAGAGTAACCTTTCAGAGTGATATTGGTAAACACTGTGCATTCAATATGATAAGCGTGTTGCACTTAAGACTTGGCTGATATGCAGCAGACAAAGACAGGACAGATTCTCAAAGATAGCAGAGGCAGAATTAATTGCCACTTTATTAGAGAAAATGTCAGTTTCTAGGTGTAAACGAATGATCCGGGTTTTCAGATTTGCCGTCCTATCACAAGACTTTAGACGTGTTAGATAGCTTTTAGTGAAATTAATAATACTATAGATCTGATAAATGTGTAAACTAAGTAATGATCAAAGTAATGTCTGCCCTGATGCTGATAAAAAAAAAGTCTTTACCTTTTTTTTTTCTTCTTTTTTTTTTGTCAGTGTAGCTTTTTACAACCCGAACCATTGATTTCAACAAATGGCATCACTGCAGATAACTGTGCAGTCAAATAAGATGGGTCCATTGATTTCCATGCAATGACCACTTGTTTACCCATAAGATATAAACCCCGTGAATGGAGCATCACACACCCGGGCTCATCAGTATTGGTGACCGGATGTCCATTGAGATGCAGAGCACAAACCTTTGATCCTCGTCTGTGCCGGGGCTGGAGGCAAACTCTCTCTCCCTCTCTCCCTCTTCTCTCTGCCTGTGCTTTCTCCATCATCCACCTCTTTCTTTCTTACTGAGATCTCAGGGGATTGTTCCTTTGCTTCAGTGCTCACTCTCTGTTTTTCACTTTACCTCGGAATCTTCTGGATGTGCTTGGCATACTTTTAATTTTAAAACTGAAGAAAAGCTGCAAATCTTAGTGCGTGTGCATGCATATGATTTCTTTGGGCAATTAAAGCCATAGTTTGACATATTGGGAAATATGGTTATTTGCTTTTTGTTGGAGAGTTCGATGAGAAGACTGATACCTCTCACGTGTCTGTTTGTGAAATATGGAGGTACATTAAGCAGCTGGTTAGCTTAGTTTAGTACAAAGTCTGGAAACACAGTAAAAACAAACAAAACCAAACGAGTCAACAGCAAAAAAAAAAAAGCTCTGGCAAATTTTTCACGGGCGCAACCCACTTACTCAGCTCTGCTGCTCACCCCACAAATGCATGTTCCTTACAAATGTGGCACCATTTAAAAGGGAAATAAACAGCATTGTTACAACAAAGAAATAATCTACCATACACAAATTTCCTTACTTTTTGTGCTTTGTTTATGATATCTTACAGAATAGCACCCCAGTAAGTTTCAACTTAAATTACAGAGACTAGGTTTAGGCAAGTAAAGTAACTGTGGTTGGGTTTAGGTAAAGAAAAACGGTGACCGCATACCTTAAAATGACCCAAAGTTCACTTCAAACACCGATCTCCCTGGGAAAGTCCTGTGTTTTTTGACCTATCCATCACTCCAACCTTCCTCCTTATGAGACCGCTTCCCTCTTTATTCTTTACTCCCCACAGTGCATTGATCACATGGTCAGAGCCTTCCAAAATACATTGGGTATACACAAATTACTGGCTCATGATTAAGATTAGAATATGTAGGAATTGTGGTGCACCACTTACGTAGGACAATGTGTGAGCAGTACAAAAACTGACGCATAAAAACACCAGACTATGTCTTGGCTAGCTTCCCCATGTCCAGTCTTTGTTCTGACTCTGAGTTAATCAGCTTCATATTTACGCTACAGACATGAGAGTAGTATCTTTGAGGTATGTACCGCAATCCAAATATAATATTCGGGAAAGCATGAATACTGCAATGGCAACAGGAAACATTCTGACGATTCTGTTTCCTCAAATTGATTTATATTATTGTGGATGGCCAATGAAATGACAAGGTAGTAGTGAGACAAAAGCTTGGTGTGGCAGCTTGATTTCTTTCAGACCCCTGCAATTTATACATCAAAGTATAGGTTGGAATCTGTAGTTTTTAGCTGTATATGTAGCCTTCCTCTATCTATGGGAAAAAACACTTAAAATTTTGAAAAATAAACAAGTTCTACCTTGAATTTCAGTCAGTATTCATCTGTTTAGGATGTAAGATGCTCTATCTATCAGACATATCTTCAGTCATAGTGACTTGTGGTATAAACCCTGCCCACTCCTGGCCTCATCAGAGACACAGATAATTTCGTTGTTTGAACAAACACGATAATGACGTCTCTGTGCGCCTTTTGTATCAGTCTTGTCAGCTAACTCTCCACCAGAAAGCGAAGACACATTTGTCCCAAAACATCAGAACTTTTCTTTGATTTCTCAGAGAAATCACATGCATGTACACACACTTATCTTTCCTGTATTTTCTGTCATTTTTGTATTTACAAAACAAAAGCAACATGGTCTCAGAACGCTACCAAGCTGTTACTGTATATGACAGTCTCTGTGTTTTTAAACCTGTCCATTGTGCCAGTATATCTCTTTATGGATTCCAGAGGGCATCAGCAGCTCCAGCCTCTGACAGCTAAAACTAGATTGTGTTTTTTAGCTGTCTCATTTATATCTCATTCATTTATTGTAAAAATAATGAGAACTAACATTATTGGACAGATCATCAATAGTCCTGCATTTGAGTGATATTCCAGCTGAACATGCACACTTTTGAACTGAAGCTCTCAATTAAACTCAACTTGGCTCCTTGTTTCTAATGCTCGACTGTGACAGTTTGCTAGTAACTGTGCACTTCCTCCACACGCCTGACCCCCGTGCGCACAGTTTGCAGCCTGCTACCCATGTGTCAGTGTGTCAGAGTGTCTCTGGGCTCCTGCTGAGCCCCTCGTGTTGTTTATTGTGTCCCAGGGCTGAACATATGGTTCACAAGCCCCTGGAAGAAAGTACAGCAAATCCTTCTCTCTCTCTGTGTCTCCCTCTCCCTTTTTTTATTCTTATCCCCTCATAATATGACCTTAATAATCTGACCCTGTGTGACTGCATGACGGAGCAGAAAGATATTTGCTTCTTTGTGCCCACTGTTTATGGAGCTGAGCTGACAGAACATGTCCTGGCAGCTAAAACTACTCGTTAGTGAGCAAAAGCTGCTCAAAGAGAATATTCTTGAAGAGTGTGCAGGAATAAAATGATCGTTCTAACAAAAGGAAGTCGAAGATGAAAATCTGCTGTTAGTACTTCACAGTCTCTCCTTTGTCTTTGTTTGTGTGTGTGAGTCTGTGAGTGTTTGCGACTGTTTACTCTGCTTAGTGGGATGTACTGTAGTAATGATGTGAAACGCTCAGTGAACTGAACAAATCATGTGAATTATGGCACTTGAATATGTCAGTGTCCCTGTTGCCAAGGTGAGTGGATATGTTATGCAAGCCTTTCCGTGTCCATACCCACGTATCATCTTTGACCCCTCAGCACGTCACCTCCGTGGATGATTTGTGATGGCATTTTGACTCTGCATGTGAGCAGCCTGGATGATTCAATCAGTTGCTGCTCAGGTGACCCGCTGACGCTCTCTCCAGCACAGAGCTGTGGATGAGAGTTGAGCAGTGCAATCAAAACTATTCATGTGAAATTCACAAGATTGTTTTGTTCAACTTTCCTGCACAGGTTGTCCAAGTTGTTATTTGATTGCTGGTAAAATTGCAGTGGGGGGGGCTGGGCTTTTATGAGCAGTTTAATTGAAGCTGTCAGCAGGTCAGCGTAAGAGAGGCATAGCAACCAGGTTGTTATGTAGTTAGAGATCCAGAGCACCATGATAGGTTTAATGGAGAGAGCAGTTTTGAAAAAAAAAAAAAAATTAAAAATTGAGATATTCTCTGAAATATTCAAACTGGAGCATTTATCCTTCTGGGTAATACAGTTTTGTCAGAAGACTGAGTTTAAATCACAACTTTAAAGGAGCAGTGTCTATGATTCAGGGAGATTTAGTGACATCTAGTGGTGAGCTATTTATCTCAATTAGAATTACTTCAGTGTTCATTGCTCAAGAGGTTTCTACCAGGAGCTGAATTACCTGCACAGGTGTCCTCCTCTTCAAAACAAAAAATGTACCAGGTGATTAAAACCGGTAAACACACTGAATAAAGCAGTTTCACATTAAAAATCAGTGTTTCTTCTGTGCTGTTTGGCACATCACAGATGAGCTGCTCAGCTAGTTCCTGCTATGTGTGCTCCCCTTTTTTCTCTGATAACCTGATGTGTGATCACCGTATTTCTGATCTAGACCTTTAGGACATTTTCACCTCGAGCCACATTAGCCACAGAGGTCTCTTCCTCCCTAAAACAAATGTACACAAGGATTTAAACCCCAATGTTTCTTTGATGTTGTGTCCTGAAGTACATGTAAAGTCAATTTAAAAACGCTATTAGATGCGAATTCCAGCTGGATGACACGATAGAAACAAAACAGACAAATTAAGCACCGTGAATGAAATTGAGTAGGGTGATATCGCATCTTACTGTGAGCTTACTCACAAGAGTTCAAAAATCTGAACTTCAGCGACCAATCCGCGCTGTGATAGCCAATCAGCATTGAGATCTTCTGGGGAGGTATGACGGCGAGGATGTACCAGTGCAAGTTCACTCATTGATTCAGTATTTTCACTTGCGTATGACGCGAGTCAACAGAAAATATTCTATCGTTCAAACTTGTGCAAGTAAGGCAACGCGAAAATTGGCATCATGTTTGGTGTGAATACACCACAACGCTGTATGGCACGTCTGAGACAGGCAGCTGGCCCACCCAACTCATTCTCATCCCAACTCGTCATATATTGTTACTTTGTTAGTGGACTTTCACAACTAAATACAACCCGCTAGGTGTTGTTGACGCTGTTGACGTTCAAGTGCCAGTTTACGCTCGTTACATGCATCGTGTCTTTTCAAAATACACTTCCTTTTTCAAAGGAAATGAACGGTTTGTGCTTCTTAGGTGCATACAGCATCATGTTTTGGCTCAATGTTCACACTGGCAGTGAACAGCAGCCCCACAGGTTAATGTCCGTGGTTTATTGGACCCATCCACCTCCACTCGTGCCCACTCTACAGGGACTTTTTAGCTTTCTATTAAGTTGTTGCCGCCAGTTACAACCTGACGCCACCTTGCAGTGTATCATACCATCAGGAAATGTGCCTATTTGCATTGGTGTCTCACGCTGAAATCACTTACAAAGCGACAGTATTAGACAAGTTGGGGATAAAATTGGACCGGCCCACTACATGCTAATGTGTGCTCACCTTTTTTCTCTGATAATCTAAGATCCAGACATTCAGTAGGTTTTTAAAAGATGCAAAATAATCCGCAGAAGTGTCTCCCTCTCCAAAACAAACAGACCTGAACGCTGAATAAAGCTGTTTTGCATTAAATAAATTGTGTTTTTTCAGCAGTGCTCATTGCAGAGGGACAAATTACGGTGGCCAACGTGAAAACACGAATGGCCCAATTTACAGCCGGTGTTTGGTTTGTCTGTTCTTGGTGACTGGAAACTGGAAACATGGAGGTGCAACATGGCAATCTCCGTAGATGAGGACCCCCTCCCTATGATATAAACAGCTCATTGTAAGGTAACAAAAACATAACAATTCTTGTTTTTAGGTGATTATACAATTAAAGAAAATATACTTATTATGTTATATATATTTCTGCCAATATATCCCCATAAATCGCACACACTGGACCTCTAAGTCATGTTTAAAACTCAGTCTAGCACATGATTAGTTGGCATTAGTCACTGTGTTGTTGCTGGAAACATTTAATTTTGCACAAAGCATGCTTCTGAAATATTCCCAAGCCGGAAATGGATATGAAACATCTTTCCTTATAATATGATCATTGAATAAAATACTTTTCATATTAACCTACTTTTTCATACTTAACATTTAATAAAGTAAAGCATTAAATCTTAGAGCGGGGATGAAGTTATTTTTTTAAATGAGAAGGGAGGAAAACTGAAAATGACAGTCTGTCCCCTAAATTCTAGGAGCTACAGCTGCAACTGGCATGCATATCTGTCTCTCTCGCTCCCACACACTCACTCAGTCTCACACACACACATGCACACACACACACGCTCACACTGAGGGGCCATTGATGGTTAATTCCCCTGTGGAAATGTGGGTATAGGTGAGCGAGATGATGTGTGTGCGAGTGTGTATGTGTGCGCGCAGTGTCGGTCGGGCCGGTCAGTGCAGCTGACGTCACTGCGGTCAGCTGTGGCTCTCTCTCGCTTTGCTGCCGTTGTTCAAATTCTCCCCTCGGCTGGCCTGAAAAGCTTAAATGAGATTAGCACACACGCACACAAGCAAACAAGTATGAGCAGTCATGAGCTAAAAATGAAGCTGGGAGAGGTCTGGGAATGGGGGAAACATGGAAATATCTCAGTTTTGACACTGTGTGAAATTTTTGATCCACAGATATAAGACTTGCAAATATGTGCTGCGGGTGCCTTGCGAATTATTCCCAGCCCGACATGACAGAGATTGAACCTGGGCGACGTGGCATGTGTATATGTTTGACCGAGGGCATAAATCCTGATCAAACTCTGGACTATCAAGCTCACATTTGTTTTCTCAGACACTGAGGCTGTAAATCAGAGCTCCATGGGAGCAGTGATGGAGCAGTGAATGAAAGCTGTGATGTTGGTCTGAAAAATATGATATCATGCAGAACCTTAGTTATGTAATCAAACAGTCTTCCATATAATCTATTTTTGATCATGCTGTATGTATTTTTTCTCAACTACATACGGGTAAAGAGAGTATTTATCATAAATCCTAGCTGAGATAAGCTCTTGTGGGGGTTTATGTGCAGTCTAGCATGTATATTCCAGCCTTGTATTTGCATCAAAGCTTTTGCCAGGCATGTTGGTTTCTCTCAAAAGGGCCACATCCCCTGACATGCCTTGAAGTCTGCCTTGCAATATTTGTTCTTTTGTACTGTGTCAGTTTTGGCGAAGGAGCTGGCACAAGTAGTGTCCTCTGATGTGCATTCAGTGTCGACCAAAAATAGGGCTTCATTTGATTTTATTCAACATATCCACAACCTCTCGGGCCTTGAGGCTGTTCCAAATTACAACACTTGATATAAAAAAATCTAATTATAACATCACAGATTAGTCTATTATAAGCTTCATCAACCAGCAATGCTATAATGCAAGCGCAGACTGTATAATCATTTGTAAAATGAAAGAAGGGCTTTATTTGATGTCTTTAGGCCCATTTCTCTCTTTATCTCTTTAGGATTTTCCCTCTTGTTAAACATGAAATAAACTGTTTCTGTTAAAAGGTGTTAAAACTGGCCCATAGAGAGCACCGATCTCACTAATTTGTGTGAAAATATAAAATTTGTCACCACTGCTGTAACATTTTATCCCTGAAAAATACATGAAATCATTTATTTCTCTATTTTATTTTATTTCAACAAATATCCAACCACTTACAGAAAAAAGATTACAACTTCCAGCGTACTCCTTTAATATTAATAGTAGCTATCTTCTTCGGCGCTGTTACTAACCCAAGGTCTCTGCCAAGTGGTGTACAGTAAAAGATTAATTTTCCTGGATGGATAACAGCATTTTGTAGAGAATGGTGTTATGTTTTCTTCCCACAGCCCAGGTTTACATACTCCAGAGAGCTCCTAAACATGATTTCCTGTCCATTAATTTTAGTTCTCCTCATTAATTTGCTCTCATGGTGAA